TATTTTTTTTTTTTTTTACAAGTTCGATTTTCCAAATTTTTGTAGTTGAATGAGGTGACAAGTAGCCACCAAAGTTAATTTTTTTGAAGTTTTTTCAATATAAGACTCGAAAGATGAATAAACTATCAATTCGAGACTTGAAAGATTTTTTTTTCTCAATTCGGACATAAATGTTATAAAACTATCAAATTAAGTCTAGAATTAACAACACTCATAACACCATTAAATTGAGAGTCAAAATAAAAAGAAAAATAAAATGATTTTATGATGGAATCTCAGTAGCAAATACATAAATGGATTAGGCAACTTACATGAACATAATTTGATGTAATCTTATATTAAATGAGTTTTAGAGTTTCACAAGCAAAGGAAATCAAATTAAGTTCGAGTAATGAATGAGTCAAACAAAACACAAATTAGTTTTGGGAAACAAACTAATTATCATAAAATAAGAAAAATGGTAGTTATACTATGTAGATGACATGAAAAGTATTTTAAAATAACGACCCTTACAGTTTCAATAAAATACTATGGTAAAGAAATGATTAAATTTTAAAAAAAAAATAAAAAAAAATAGTACATTCATCTGCAACAGTATCCTTTTAATTTTTTAAACAGGGGGTGGGGGGTGGGGGGTCTTTCTGGCAAAATAGTTAAATAAGCAACAATCCTCATGATCTTGGATACAAAAAACTCTTAACGAGGCTCACAAGCTTCGAGCAACCTTCTCGTACAAATCACGCGGCCAGTTCCTGTTCAAGTTGTTGGCAAGGAAGTTCGCAATCTGCAAATACCACCAATACTCGTTCAACTATTGTCGATAACTTGAGAAAAGAACCATAATACATAACCCATTCGCTTTTCCGATCTACTGTTATGCCCAGGACAAAAGTTCCTACTTTACAATGAAGTTCAGATTAGTTTAGCTTCATTGTAAAGTTGAAACTTCTGTCATGGGTCATAGCAGTAATTTGAAAGGCAAGTTGAGTGTTTAAGTGAAAAGATCATGAGTTATGTATTATGGCTTTTCTTTTTGCTTAAACACTCAACTGTCTTTTGAAGAATTACTGTGGGTTATGAGTATGACCCACGCCAGAAGATTCAACTTTTACAATGAAGTTCAGATTATTTTGGCTTTCGCAATTCTAACCACCATAATAAGGATGAAGTGATCCGTTTGCAATTCAATGTTTGTTTATAAAAAAAATTATCAGCAAAATAATTAGAAGAAAAGGGATTTTACCTTTGCTCTCAGGGCCCGCAGAGACCCATCTGTGTCAGTGACGTTATCCAAGCACAAAAGCGCATCCTTGAGAAGGCTCGGGACACACGACTCAACGTGTGGCGATAAATTATTGAACACATCTGTGGTGGTTATATCCGGTGCACGAGGGTCCAGCGGAAGGAATGGTAGTCTAGCGATCTCCCGCAGTGCATCCAATTGGCTTCCGTAAGTAGCGAGTCTATGGATGGCTAAGATTGCCTCGAGCTGCCTCAGCACAGTTTGTTGCTCCATCACATTTGCTCTCTCTTGAGGACTGTACGGAAAATAATGATGATTAGGAAAATCCAAAAGTACACAAAGTGATAATATTCTGAAAGTAAACAAAGAAAAGACATTGAAACCTGATTTCAGGATAGTATTTGAATGTCTCTAAGATCCCATTTCCAGAGTGTATGAGGCCAGCAATCCTGCTTTCTCCATCAAGCCTACCTCGTGACAGCGAACAAATTGCTTCAGACAGACACTTGTTTATTGTGTCCAGTGCAGCCGAAAATGCCCCAATTCTTTTCTGAATTTCTATGGACTTCATTTGGGGGTAAGATCATGCAAACATAACAAACGGTTCAATACATATCAATTGTACATTCGGAATATCTGAAACAAATTTTCGCAAAAATATAGAGGGAGAGGGCTCCGCTAAAAGAGAATTGTTGGTAGAGTTATGCAGAAAGCAAATTATAAAATTAAGATCAATAATTCTGAGAAAAAAAATTGAACATAATTAAAAAGAAACGAAGAAACATGGATTAACAGCTTAACTAGAGTCCAAAATATGCGCATCCTTTTCCGACAACTTAAGAAAAATAAACAGAATCAGATAGAGATCACATGAAATAAGGCATAAATCATGGAAAGTATATTGAAGAATAAATCTACAGATTGTGGATTGATTTTAAGATCTATATTCATTGTCTTTTGAAGATCATTGTTATCTTGCTTTTATTATTTTTAACTTATATATTATATCAGTAAAATATAAATATAGGACTAGTGGAGAAGGGTAGGCAATAAGAATCATATTGTAACAGCTTTAGCTATTGAGCAAGAGTAGTTCTTGTTGGGCAAGTTAAATTCTGCCGGGAAGCTTCAACCTTTTGGTTACCATTCATATTAATAAGAATTTCGTATTTCATTTTCTTGACTCTTTACACTTATTAGAATCAAACCAGACTATGAGCATAAGTTACAAAGTCTCGCCAAAAGTCATTGAGAAACTTTCCCTTGGCTCGAGCAAAATCATCATGAAGCATGATAATATACATATGCCAAAATCAACACATTTGTATAATAAACGTTAAAACACGAGTCTGAAAGGCTGGCTACAAAAGAGATTACCTTATCATACAAACCAGCATCCTGACAATGCCGAGCAGCTTCGACTAGAAACTGATGCCTCGTCTTCCAATCAGTCAAAAATTTCGCCAACTGCCCCTCTTCCCCAGTTCCCCTTGACCCTAACAAGAGGTAAATGCCATCATCACGTAACACAATCTCCGTCAGAAGCTGTTTCAACATCAAAGTCCTCCTCCTCTGCTGATCCACACTACCTCTCCCGATCCATGACAGCAGCCCTCCACCGGCAGCAGCTGCAGCCTGCACATAGTACTCGAGCGCCATCAACAAGTCCCCGTGCCGTAAATAGGCTGCCCCGTACTGCCTGATTATGCTGGAGGCCTCGGCCAAAGCATCCATTGTCCCCAGCTTTTGTTCAGGTCCAGAACCTTCCGGAAGGACTCCATAGTCAGCCAATACGATAGCTATATGCACGGAATCTACACCATACCCATCGTCTCCCATATCTTTTGACAAATGGAGAACAGCTGGAAGCAGCTGAATGCTTAGAAACAAAACATAAGGGTAGACCAAAGGGTCCTTTCCGTTTTTTGTGTAATATGACGGCTCGAATTTATTTAGGTATGCCTGCAAATCTTCCAAGCTGTAGGGGGATGATGCGCCGCTGTTGAGCACAACCGAGGAAGGGGGCCCACTTGGGCTCTCGCGTATGGCAGACAGCATGAACCATAGGAAATCCTCGATCGTATTGAAGATTGTGGGTAATTCTCTGAGTAATCGGTCGATTAACCTCCTGGAACCGGATATAATGGCATGGAGGAGTACTTTTTTCTTGTCGTATGAAGGGCGGCCTAACCGGTCAACCATGCGAAGTATTTTCTCGCATTCTTCTGTGGCGGCAGCTGAAGTCTCGGTTGATACCATGCCTCCAGTGGTTATCCACTCAGACAGCTAGAACGAGAAGAAGATGATGAGTATTTTGGAAGAAGAAGAAGAAGGTGGTGGTGGTGGTTTAAGTGATTACGGGTGCGACTGGATATGGATTTGATTGGTTTTTTCTAATAGTTAATTTAAAAAAAAATACTATGGTTAGTTATTAGTGTGAGTTTAAGTTTAAATTAAAATATTGTTTAAAATGAAATTTTTATGTTCATTTGATGTAAAAGCAGAAGAAAAATGATTGTAAGGGATGGTTAGTTAAAATTATGTTAATGGATGAATAGTGAATTAAAGTTGATGTGATGTGTAAGAATGATTGGTTGATATTATTTAATTATATTTATAATATTTAGGATAGTGGGGTTTAGTTAAAATTGAGTTTTGATTGGTTTTATTTGGTTAAGGTTATAACCAATCACACCCTAAGGAATGAGCATGTTCAAAAAAAAATAAAATAAAATAAAATAAAATAAAAAATACCAGAGTACTGTATTGCTGGGAGGCCCTAGATGTCCGGGCAACTCCTAGAGCATCATCATAGTATCCAGTCCGCAGGCAAAAATATATCTGTTGTAACATGACAAATGTTGTAACATGGCAAAGAAAATAGTTGAAGCAAAGTAATTCTTATGTGTAATACATTATGTTAAAAGCAGCTGATTGCACTGCATGACTTAGCTACGGGTAAGCTTCTATTTCTTAAACTTTCAAGACATGCCATAGTAAAAATGGATCATTTTATGTGGCCCCAGAAAGCATATGTATGAATTTATCTTGATCTAATTTTTTGACTTGTTTACTAAACTCATTACTATCAAACATTTATAGTTTAGTAGTGTGCTAAAAGGTTACAATTTGAAATAATTGGAAAATGGAAACAGACGATGAGAAGGGAAACAGAAGTCCTTCATAACAAGCAGTAAAAATATATTTAGCAAAGCGGCCAGATGATAGTAGAGTAGTTGTATACTAAAGATTTGCACATTAACATAATTTGACACAACTGGAAAAGTAGTTTTCAACCTGTTGCCAAGTGGTATCGATAGGAGGCTGTCGGCGAACATCGCCTGCATCAAAATCAAGAACTCCATAATCCCTTAAACGCATCTGCAAAAAAAATGTAAACAGCAATTTCAAAATAATCTGATCAAATGATGTCTCCTGTGCTTTTAACCTTGAGTGAATTCAATAACTGTTCAGACAAACCCGGAGGTAGGCACGTATCCTCTGCAAATTTCCAACAGCCCCACCAAGAGCAGCCTACCATCACATCAACAGATGAACGTGAACAACTCTATACTCTTCAGACAATGATAAGGCTTACATTTACATAGTATGAATAGAAAGCGGACACTAAAAAGCAGCAAAGAAAGCGTTCAGGCTGTTATTGATTGCATTGGACCGTTATTTAGTACAAACCCCATATATATGAGGAAATGGTTGCAACGCTGGCAAATGTAAAGTAAAGAAAAGAGGAACATGAATAAATAAGGAAAGAAAGATAGATTTTACCTGTGCAGGATGACTTTGAATCATATCCATCACATACTTCTCATGACCCCATTCCAGATGACGCCGGGCCCCCATTACTAAGGACATTCTTTTTGAGATATTCCGTGGCGCACTCACACTCGGGTCCTCACCCATTAATGACTGCATTTAATACATACTGTGTCAATTTTTCCTCATTAAGAAATATATACTGATTACACACAAGAAATATGGAAAAGGTGATCAGATTCACTTGAAATTTACCATAATCAGGTGCCATATTTTCATCATGCTAACGGATTTTGTACCCGAAGAATCAAGTTTCAAACTTTCGTACGCGTTTCTGAAAGCCGCAGCTGGCTGAGAAAATTAAATAGTCAGTTCAGCAGGATACAATTATGCATCAAGTAATATACAATTATGCATGAAGCCATTTCCTTCCTATAGCATATAAAAAATGAACAGCTCAATATAAACATATTTCCCGATGTATAAGTAAATATAAAAGAAGTCAAATAAGCAGCACACTCTATTATATTGACTTGACATAATTTAATAAAAATGGCATTACAGCTTAACCTCTTACTTTGAACTCATAGCCATGCTGTCTTGCACTGTTAAGACTTTTCACAACTTCAGCATATGCAGCCGCCTTCTTCTCAATCACAGGTTTATTAGCCACAAGAGCAGACTCCATACCAGATGGACCAGATGAAACCTCAGGAGTTGAAGTCCTTGGCACAATTTGACCCTGGCGACTCACCCCACTGGTAGAATCGTGAATATTAGTTCTAGGTAGTGTTGAAATTCGGCTCATGCTCTGAAGAAAATCCTTTTTTTCCCTATGCCAATCCTCCTGCCAATAAATGTACACATGGAGCAAGATATGTGACGATTTAGTAAAAAACGCCTAATCCAAAGTTTAAAAAAAAAAATACTGCACATACTCACCTCCAAAACAGACATCATATAATTATTGAAACTTCTAAGATTATCCTTCTGAGCTTCCTGCACTGCTGAGAGCATTGCCATTTCATGAACCTGAGTTGTTGCAGTCACATATACCCAATTATATAAAAATTCTAAAAACATCTTAAATGTTTCCATGATTTTATCACAGCGTTTAGCATACTTGCTACTCTTAATGGATGAAACTACCTGTTGAAGATACTCCTCGACCGTCGTTGCTTCAGCAGGAAAAACATCTTCGAATGTTGTCTTTTATGAGTAAATAAAAACCAATGCAAAAATGAAAACACCAACAGATATCAGAAGTATGTGATATCAAGATCAATAAAGTAAAGTTGATAGCATATGAACAACTTTCCAGTATAGATGTTAGAGAACAAAATAATGAACACCAATTTTCAGATCATAACTTGAAATCTTCATAAATCTCTAACTGAGATCCTCATTATGATGCATGAAACTTTCGAATGCTACATTCTTGGAAATTTACATAAGCCAAATTATAAACTGCCCGAAGGAACATTGATTCATAAATGGGACTACTGAGGAAGTGCTAGAGCAGCAAAAGAACATGTAACCTTCAATTCAAAGGACTTGAGATCGCGAGCAAGTTGCTCAGCATTCAACCCTTCTCGTGCTAATAGCCTGCCGATTGATTACTTAGGTAAGAAAAAAGACAAAAAAATCACATAAAATTCCCAGCAAATCATAGATTCTGCTAAGCAAAACCCTTTTTCGCTTACTTTTTCCCCCTCCCCTTACTACGAAAAAACTCAACTCTCAACACATTCTCCAAACAAATGTGCAAAAAGCAATATAACCAGTAAAGAAACAAAAATGAAGCAACCCAATATTGACACACTTGCACTCAAGCTACAAGTACCGAGAAAGACAATCACCTAGTAGCCGCAATAGATTGAGAAGGAGCTTCAGTTCGCAGGGTTTTCGCTTTAAGCTTCTTCGACAGAGCCTCCAACTGGTCCAAATTCCTCTGTTCGAACAGAAAACAAAATGGAAAGTGAGAAAAACGACTCATTACCTTCAGAAATCAAAGACCCATTAACGAACTATCTCCAATGAGAAATTCCGACACCTGAAGCGGCGGGAATTGAGCCGAAGGGGCGGCTTGATCGATAAGCTTCGAGGAGGAGTGCAAAAGATCCGTCCACCCGCTCATATCCGAATCGTTCGCCATGGTAAAACCAGAGAACCACGCAGCACACACACACACACTTGAGCTACCAGTTTGCAAGAGATAGCAGCAGCATTACGCAAACTGCATATGCCGTGAAGAAGAAAAATGGAGGGTTTTTGGAGCTTTTAAAGCCCTAACTTCAAAATTTTTCTTCGACGCCGTTTGATCCGGTGTGGAGCTGCCTACGTTAAAATTAGGTGCACCGTTTCCTAAATTTGTTTTCCTAAATTGGCTTTTCCTCTGGTTTAGGAATTTTTTTTTTGTTAATCATAATTAATTTTTTATTAAAAAAATTGTATGGTTAGTTGTTAGTTGAATTTTAATTTATTTTAAAATAATATTAAAATAAGATAATTAAAGTTGATTTGATATAAAAATAAGAGAGAAATTATATGAAATAATATTTAGTTAAAATTATGTGAGTAAATGAATAATAAATTTAAAATTGATATGATGTGTAAGAAATATTGAGTTTTTTTTTGTATATGAACACACCTGTACTCAAATTTCATCAATTCGATATTTGCCCGGCTCAAAATTTCAGTAAATTTTTGTATTTAAATAAGATTTTTCATCAAATTTTACCACGAATTTAACTGATGTTACGAAAGTCTCAGAGTAATTACGTTTATATTCGAGCCAGCTCGTCCAAGAATGGGAAAATAACAACAATTATATGGATACACATAACAGTAACAATAATATTATAACATAAGTACAGCTAGAGCATCTAACATCTTCAACATATACCTAATTAGTACTCTAAATAAGAAAAAGAAAAAAAGAAGAAAAACCAAAAAAAAAAAAGAAAGAAAAAAACATCACCAGTAACAGTTTCCTGCTCGAAGCACCTACAGAATTATACGAAAAAAGTCGGCTCCAATGTTCGTCAAAATGAGGTCCGATACTCGGAAAATTATTCTCCTCCTATACAGTCCGATTTGTCACACGCTATATTTCCCTTTGCCGTGCAGTAGCCAGAATAAATCAAGCAGCTCTGTACAACACCACTATACAATTTCCAGCTCCGGTTTTGCAACACAGCACAGCTTTAGGCCATTATTGGCTAATACATTCGAGCATCATTTTTCACGTTCCAAATTTTCCTTTCGATTTCATTTTGTGGCTACATTGGCCCGTGAAGAACGCTAGGAGAGGCCGTGAAAGCAGGCTCAATATTTTCATTCACACTCTTCGTTGGTCTTTTTAGCCTTTTTGGTCTTTGCTGTACTGTAGTAGTTGTATCGGCGTTTGGAGCAGTCTCGTCTAGCTCGAAGTCCATTATTGTTGGGTTTTGGTCTGCCTGTTTGGAGCCCTTTTGAGGCTTTGGTTTTGGCTGCGTTTGCTTTTCGGTGGCAGTTTTCCTCTGTAACATGATAACTTTCATTATTAACGATGATCTTGCGAAATATGCAGCATAAACTCGGTTTTAATTTGTCATCCGTAATTACAATATTACATTAGCATTGGTTTCTTAGGTTATGTTTGGTAAACCTAGCAAGCTTTTAAGTGAATTTCGAGCTTATAGCTGATAGCTTATGACTTATGGCTAAAAAGCTAGCTTATATAATAGAAGTATGCAGTAAAATTAGCTGAAACAAAATTTTCAATGGGCTTATTTAAAAAGCTACCCAAGGAAGCTTATGAGATAAGCTCGAGCGTTTTAAAAAAGCTCGCCTACCAAACCAAGCTTATTTGAACACACGGGAAGTTTATAAGCTAATCAAATAAACTATAATCAAGCTTATATGCTTACCAAACACAGCCTTAATCCATATCTTCGGTGCCTTATAATCTAAAGCAATACAAAATAGAGATTATCACCTTTTTGCTGCTGGATTTCACTTTCTCGTTATCAAGAAGCTCGGTTTCATTACCGCCTTGTAATTCAGGGTTTGCGAAATCCTCCAATGATGCGCCTCCTTCGGCATCAATACGTATGCCCTTCGAACTGGCTTTTCTTTTCTGTCTATCTTTCGCCTGTTTAGAAGAAGAAACCAAATAATTTCAAGTCAAGGTGTTTTTAGATTCAATTATGTATAAAAATATTAAGGTTTGTTTGTTACAAGAAACTACACCTTAAGGTTTAACTTATGTAAACACAAGAATGAAGGATACATCAATAATTCGGGCTACACTGTCGGAGTTTCTTGTAAATAACTCAAAATATTTT